TCCCTGCTCAAGGCCCTTCTCAATGTGCCTTAGATGTGACGGGTTGTTGGAGCCGTCCAGTATGCGACATGAGAGATGCGAGAGCTCCCTTTTTTCTTGTTGGTACGCGAATTGACTGCTACTGTGGATAGTTTTAAATAACACCAGTCTGATTTAATCTCCTCATTACCAGTAGGTGTGCCCCACCCTTCCTTCAAATTCTTTACTGAGGTAGTGAAATTGAAGAAAAGGTGGGGCGAACTTTCTATACAAATCAACTTTTTCGAAAGTGCGATAGTACGCTATTCCACTGACCGATGAAATCTTCGAAGTGGGGCAGCTTCTGAGCAAACTCCACCCCCATCTCACAGATCACACCTATCACGTTTTGGCTTTTTATTCATAAATTCTTTCGAATGTGTTTGCCCTTTTTCCTACTTTGACCTTGAGAATAGACTCTTTTTCTTCGTTTTTTTAGAAACGTTTGATGTTGTACCCATAAATATTATATTTATCCCCGGATTCACCATCTAAAATCTGTTCACTGGACGGTGCAACTGAAAGAACTCGGAAGTATGGGGTGCACCCGGAGAACGCAATACGGGTTCGAGTCCCGTGCGAGGCCATAAATATGTTAATAGTTGTTTCGCCTACTACCCACCATGCTGGAAGGTTTTTTTCACCGTTCACTGTGGCAAAGCAACAAATCGAACAAAAAACAAACAGTTAGTTGTTTACTGGAAATGATTCCATTTCGAGCCCCTCTCCCACCCCCGGATGTGGTGCAGTAGGAACGAAATCGTCGCGTCGCGGCAAGAGAGACACCGCGCGCGAAGGAATGTAGCAGAGTGCGGCAGCAAGTAAGAAATATCGACAACCGCGTACGGCGAATCGATTACACAAAACCGTTCCTACTGCCCGTTTCCTCCCACCACTACCCCAGCTCTCCCCTATCGGAACATATAGCTCTCCCTAGTTGCTTGGTCCTCCCCTAAAGCTCACCCCCTCTCAGGTTTTCTCATCATTATCGATAGCGACTGTTATACTGAACTGATTCTCAATGATTATTCATGTCCTTAGATGAATGAATGCTTACGAATCATCGAATGGATCGGCTATTTTGTTGTGAGGCGTCGTCATGTAGTGCAGTTATCCAACGCTACATCTTCAATATGATTTCTTATACGTCCTCTGATGTTACGCACTGTACGATCCATTCAGTTTCTTCCGTACTTGTAAGCTTTCACAGCCTCTGAACTATCTCTGATAGCACCTTCAAACAAGCGCTTCTTTAAAGGCACAGTTCACGATAAAAATGGCTTCAGAGTTACCACCCTGGCATGAATCTGTGATCCCTTAGGATGGAATAACGGACGCTATCGGGTCCAAAGACAGTCAAGATAGGGAGTAGCGAGGGCCCCCAAAACCGGCTTACCCGACGCACACATCCACGGCGGACGAGTTCCAAGCGTTGCGAAAGCTGTAGAGGTTGCACCATTCGCACTGGGACCAGGCCTTGCACGCAGGCAGCGTATCAGAGCCAGCTGTATGCAATGGCGTGCGTCCAGCACGTCTAAATACCTCTTCCATGCATCATTCCTGTAGTATTCCTGTAAAACCCCCCACTTTACTCTTTCTCAAAGCCTTACAATCCCCCGAATGCGCCTATTTCCGCGTTTTCGTCGCCGTTTTGCAATACTCTGGACAATTACTTCCATTACTCGTCCCAAACTAGATAATCCGAAACTATCGTGAATTGTACCTTTAAATTGTTAAGCGCATGACCCTCCCACGTTTTAAGGAAGCCAGATTAGTGCTACTCACGTCACTCACGGTAGCAATCCACAAAAGGTAAAAAACTAGACTTAACCAAGGATCACCGTCCTTGCACAAGGCCTTTACTCAATGTGCCGTATATGTGGCGGGTTATTGGAGCCGTCAGTATGCGACATGAGAGATGAGAGAGATACCCTTTTTTCTGTTGGTACACGAATGTTGACTGCTACTGTTGGTAGTTTTACATAACACCAGACAGTTTTACTTTTCATCAATACCAGTAGTTAGTCATTATTCGACAAGTAGAGTAATGGGCAAGTTTTAGTTCTCAATTTTTGGGTCCCTTACTGCCACGAAACCTACTAGTATTTCAAAAGCTCGGATAATGTTGAATACTCATTTAGTCAAAACGGTATTTGGAAGAGAATCGAGTGAGCGGTGCTAATATCGAAGTTCGACAGTTTCGTAGAGGCCTTCGACAATTCTCGGTTATATTCTGGATGGATTAGGTTACGATGAGTGGCAAGCGCCCAAGAAGTGGCCTGAAGTGAAGATGCTGGATCTAGCCCCACTCAAGCTAACCAAGGATTCTATTACTCTTTTGTTTGGCATCATATCCTTCTGGAATGAGGGGAACTCTTTTATGAACGCTGTTTGGCCATCTTAAATCAGATTTGATCCAAACACTCACTCATGCCTCCTCGATTTTGCATGCCGGTGGTCATGTGCACAAGGTCTCCTGAACGGTGATGGTCAACGACGAAAGGGGTGATGCAGCACGAATGAAAGTCGGTAACGATCCTATTCTTGAAGGAAGCCAGCAAGCAGTCGTCAAACCGTGGTCCAGATGGAATTGGGATCCCTTTCTGAGCCTCACCAACCAAAGCCATCATTTAATCGAACCTCCAAAGACATATTTCTTCCAGTTTGTAAGAGATTTCCTTGAAGACTCCCACAAAATTTCCAAGTCTGATGCATGGTCAAAGTACATTCTCTGCTCTTTTCAAAGAATTACCTCTCCCAGCAAATCGCTGAACTGAAAACTTTTCAGCCTAATGGTTTGATACTTATATATGCTGACCGGTCCACCACGTTGTACATGACAGTGCTGATAAGCTGCAGCATAAAAGTCTTTGAAAAGGCGAAGCCACGAGAGGTGCTGGTAACGTAAGGGATAAGTACGGTGTCCGGATAGCACAAGTACGGGCTCCAATTCCTTTTCTTTTGAAGTCTGAAATTACTCTTAATATGCCGACTTTTGCGCTTTCCTAGCCACTTTTGCACGAGAGACGGGCGTTAGGAACGATTTTGGGTAATCGATTTGCCGCACGCGGCTGTCGCGGACCACTCATTCGCCGTTATTACAGCTCTAGCGTTCCTCATACAGCTCAATCGATATGCGATCATTATTTTATGCATAATTCTACTATTAGTACTTTGGTTTTGTATTTCTTACCTACTGCTGCATCCTGCTACATTCCTTCGCGCGCGACGCCCCTCTCACCGCGACGCGACCATTCGTTCCTAACGCACCACATCCCTTTTGCACTAATCTGGACTAACACTTTCCCTACTCATCTTAAACTGGAAACTACAAAATTATTGTGAGTTGTACCTTTGATTGACCAGGGATTTACAATCATAGTTTCGACGGCTGTTTCGAAGTGGTCGTTCTACGCATTCTTCCGAGGCTGGAAAGACTGAAGCCATTAGCTTCTCCTTCTGCTCAGGGAGTTATGTACCTTTCTCATAACGGCTCAAAAAAGGGCTACTTGCTTCAGTCGAGATCATTACGAAGAATTAGATGTTGTCCAGCTCGCCAGTATCGTGTACTCAGTAACCGACGATGAGCTTGAGCTGCTTCATTGCCAGGTTTCACTTATTTTGGGCGTGATAAATTCCGTACTTACTGCTTATTTTCTGTAAATTAATTGCCCATTTTCACTGGGAAGTCAGCCAATGTCCATTCTTCCCTACAGAAGTGAATGGAGGAAGGAAGTTTACCACGAAACGTCAGACGCAAACATCGGCACAACCATGAAAGTTCCCCACACAGCAAACAATTTGACAAAAAGAAGCGCTTTACTCATGGGAACACTACTGAATGTCCCTGAAACAATGTTCTGCTACACTACTCTCTTTTATTAATCTTGGGCCGGACATGCAATGCAATTTTATGATGATCATTGGACCAGGGCGGGTACTGACCGGGCACCCGGACGGCTGACAGTGCGATGGTCATTTTTCATGAAAGGTTAATGAGAGGAATATTATGCTTCGTGTCCGTCAAGCGAGGACCATCCTGTGGACCACTCTGACTCGCTCGCGACACGTACGAAAAGAGGCGTTACTGGCACAAGGACTCAAATTAATCGATGATGAACAGGACGACAGGCGTTACTATTACCAGTAGTTCTCAGAGCTTTTTCAAGTTTCAAGTTTCAATTATTCAATGCCATTGAACTGCCAATGTAACCACAACAATAATCCCGTTATAATGATTCATTTGGGCTGACCAATAATGCCCCAAAACATGTAGAAACAGAAACCAGACAGTATGGGAAATATAATGGATAAACGGGATGATTCGGATACAATGAAGAAGACGATATATGCGCACCATCGTGAATCAAAGAAAAAAAAAGAACGGATTTGAACAACAACGAAGTGCTCTAAATCAATGAGTATCTTGTACATACGAGTATCACACCCATTAAACAGAAAACATCAATGGCTTGATTTGCGGATTCGATAAAACGATCGGACGAAAACTGTGATGATAAATTGAGATGAGTAGAAGGAAAAATGAACAGAAATGAGGCAAAAAAACATATTGAACAGAAGAAAACATTTTTAAAAAAACACGCAGTGACGATAAAATGTCAACTAAACACACCGTTTACCTACATGTATTTTCAAAAAAAAAGTTCAAAAAACATTGGGGTAAACGGGACATGAACAAACGGGTTTATCCGCTCACAAATGCACACTCTCAAAAACCGTATCACAGATTGAATTAATCAGAAAAAAAGGAAAAAATAAAATAAAATCAAAACGAAAGATTTTCATAATTACAGTAGATGGGTGAGTTTATTCGAAGTATACATCATGCATAACTTTTGACTAAGAATGTTTGCGTCATAGATCTGACCATAGATATATCCGTATTATGAAGCGCTTTCAAACACGAAACCCTTCCGCTTGCGAATGATTTACTACCGAAACGGTAACAACAGTGTATTAACTCACAATGTACGAAGGTCGCGAGTACCACTCTTCGAAGGTGGCATGCTAAAAAATGAATTTAAAACTTTTATCAAAACAAAAATTAAAGGAAAATTTTTGGCGTCCCAACCCAATTTTGAATGCGCACCTGCACTCATCATAGGACTTGCCGAGGCCACCCGACGTACAACTCTAAGATTTTACCCTCCGGGTATGGGTACATTCACCCAGAACTGGATGGGTGCGGCAAATCGCGCGGCGATTCAAACGACTTCAGCGCCTTTCATTGGGGTCCAAATTTGGAGTACAGTCGATTAGTACAATTATCTGACCATACTAAAGTACTCTAACTCAAGTTTGCGCTCCAACGGTAGGTGCCAAAGTCGTCCTAAGCGCCACGAATCTCGTCGCGTCGTTTGCCGCGTCCATCCATTCTGGGTGAATGTTCCGTCCTCCTTACCCTCCCACACGAGTCTGACACCAATTACCCGGACCCGCACGGATGGACCACTTTCTTATCCAGGGCATTTGATAACCCACCACCCGGTCTCCGGACCATGTATTTGTAGGATTCTGGTAGGCACTTTCGGTACCTGGTCAGGGTAAAGTCTATTGTGACGCCCATAAGGCGACCAAACCCAGAATCTGTTGTTTTCAAGGTAAATTTCAAGATTCTACAGGGATCATTGACAATCTTACCTTGACTGCTGTCCGTATGGATTCGGTACCACTCCTGGTATGTATCCAATATGAGGATGACCCATTGGCGGCGGTCCTGGTGGGAAAGGAGGAGCATTCGGTGGATACGGCATATATGGATTGGCTACAGCATACGGCATTGCAGCTTGTGGACCTGAAAAAACTGGTAATTGACTGAAGCAGTAGCGTGTTAGAACCGTTCAAAAACCTCTACGAGCTACTTACCCGCACAATAAGGCATTTGAGACAATGGAGTTGCGTTCGCATACGGATTCGGTACGAGCGGAGTTAAATTACTGGAAACGAATGAACATAGAAGTATCTATGAATTTACTAGCTCAAAAAAAAAATAAAAAATTCGAATTATAAAGGCAATAATGAAAAATAATTAAAAACAAGCGCTTACACATTCGCGCCTCTGTCACCGGCTGCATACGGAGGAGTGGGAGCTGCAGGAGGAACTACTTGAGGTCGGACCGTCGCCGGTGCCGACGGAGGTGCTTCAGCTACTGGCACTTTTGTTGCTGTTGTGATCGTTGTAGCCACGTAAGGATTCGGTGGCGTTGGTGTTTGAACTTTGGCGGCTACGCGAGGTTTCTCTTCAGTGGTGGTCACAACAGCTGCAGGGGAAGGTGTAACTGTCGGAGAAGACGAAGATGGAACAGTCTTGGTTATATTCGGTTTCACTTCTGCCGATTCAGCGGTAGTCTTTGGTGTGGATGTCGGAGGTGGGGCAGCAGGTATGGGCTTTGGCTTCTCCTCGCCTTGTGTAACATTATTCTGAAAATAAAAAGCTTTACTTACAGAGAGTTTTTACGAATCAGAATGCAAACAGCCACTTCAGGTGGTTTGACTGGTGGTTTGGCGACTTCTGCGGGTTTGGCGACTTCAGGTGGTTTGGTGACCACAAGTGGTTTGGCGGGTTCAGGGGGTTTGGTGACCTCTGGTGGTTTAGCGACTTCCGGTGGATTAACATCGGATGGTTTGGCACTGGACGCCTCATCCGGTGTAGCATCCATCTTCAACTTTTTCGGCTTAGGTTTCAATTCTGAAAAAAAAAAACGATTGGAATCATGTTTGAAGAAGAACTTTGTGGGATAAAAAACTCTCAAAAGTGAGAACTGTTCACAAATTCTCACCCAAATCATTTTCGCTGTCCTCTGAATCCTCGGTGTTATTCTCTTTAGTAACAGGGGCTGTCGTCACTGCAGGGGCTGCCGCCTTTGCAGGAGCTGCCGTCTTTGCAGGGGCAGCCGTTTCACGCGACGTTTCTTCATCTTCCTCTATTTCTTCATCGTCTTCATCATCGTCATTTTCAGCATCTTCGTCAGGCACGAAAACATCCGATTCGGAATCGGAACTGAAAATCCGAAACCATGAGGGCCAGATGTAAAGCCCAACACATTGAAAAGCACAGCCAGTGGCATCTTTCATAGCCCACGATTTTGCGAACGACCAGCCGCGCGACCGGTCGCAGGCTGCTCGCGAAATAGGTCCGCGACCAGTCGCGCGACTGGTCGTGGACCATGAAAGCAGCCAATGAAGAAGGTATGAGATGAAAATTATGTGCCACGTACACAGCCTTTCGTTTTTTGCCTTTAGTCACTGGTGGTGCGTTTTTCTGCTGTCCTGGCTCGCCAATTTCCGCGTCCTCTTCTCCACTACTTTCACCATCATCATCGCTGTCTTCAAGCAATGCTTTCTTCGACTTAACGACAGCTTTCCGAAGGGGCCTAAATTTCGAATTATGTAGATGCCTTCATTGAAACAGAAACTTTACAAATCTCGAAAGTTACTAAAATTACGGGTGAGCGAATAATACTCCAGAAACTAAGCCGTTTTTAGGAATGAACGTTCAAATTTCTCAGAAAACTAGACTGACAAACATCCCCAATACCAACAGTTCACTCTAATATGGAAAACAAGAATCAAATAACAGGAAATAAAGAACCCTTAACTCACTTTTCTCATGTCTAAACTTATTTAGTGTAAAAAACAAAAATAACACGAGACTGACCTTCCTGTGCGGGTACGAGGAGCATCACTATCCTCTTCATCCATTTCCAAGTCGTCATCAAGTTCATCATTCGACTCTTCACTCGACGGTTCAACCCGTTTCTTGCCTTTCCTTTTCCTCACTGCGGAATCATCCGAATACGTTTCGTCCTCCTCCTCGTCCTCCTCTTCTGATTCACTGTCTGACTGCCTGAAATTTTTGTATGAAACCTAGGAAAAATATTGGCTACGGTACTACCACCGTTGCAAGGATTACAGAACACTTTGCAGAGCAGCCTGAACTCACCAGCGTCCTCGCTTGCGTGATTTTTCCTTAACCTTGCGTTTCTTACGCCTGGGCCCTACATAGCTATCGTCGGATCCCGAAACGACGAAATCTTCATCACTCTGAGTCGGCTTCAGCGAAATGCGCCCTCCTCCGCCGGATCTAACAATACGAAACAATACGAATAAGCAGTACAATTCGCTAAGTAACTCAATTTTTACACGACTCCGATAACAACGTAAAAAGTAATCATTGCTGAGAAAAAAGTAAATAAACCAAAGCTTATTGTCTCTTACCTCTCCTTACGAAGTTCACTTTCCGACGGCACGTAATCCGAAGAGGATTGGGCATCTTCTTCAGCAGCTTCTTCATCAGACCTTCAGAATAATTCAATTACTCCAAAGCGTAAGGTACTGAAATACTCAATAGTAAGCTTTGTACTTACTCGTTCGCCTTATACTCATCAGTATCCGAATCTGACTCATCATTGACATTCAAATCGTTCAATCTACGGCGATGTTTGGGCATATGACGGGGTGGTGCTCCAGCGGAAACCCTGGAATAGTTCGACAAATTATATTTGTACCTTTTTGGCAGGTGATCAGAGATGCATTGGGTCCTTTAAAACGCCTTATGGTAAAACCAGAAAATTAAAACGAAACGAACTGACCTTGGAGTACCATCTTCCCGTTGCTTTTGAGCTTCAATAATATTTGCCATATCTTTCCCTCTCCCAGCACCACCCTGGGGGCGAGCGACCTCTGAAATGCCATAACAGTTTACTGTAAATTTCAATAACCGATGAGATGACTGGGTAAATGAACCACAAGCAGCAGCACTTGAACAAAACTATTTCTACCTACCTTTCATGGTATCGGGAGGAGGGGGCGATTCATTCAACCTACACGCCTCTTTAATGACAGAATCGAACTCAGAGAACTTGTAATCCACCTGAAAAAGTAACACACAATGAAACGAAATAAAAAATGAAAGGAATGATGGATTTAAGTTTGCATCCTACTTGATCAGAACATGTTTTACTTTTACAGTATATAGAAACAGAATGAAATGCGTGAATTATTTACCTTTTTCACGGTGCGCCTCGATCTTCCTTCGGCCACCGTTTGTACATGCACTGGCGTACGTCGCACGTTCGGGGTGATACGTCTGGAAGACATTACATATGCTGGTTAAGGGGCAGAGCTTATTCGTTCCAGAACAAAACACTCGATGTTTAAGTAATTTTGTCTTGGATTATATAAATACTCAATAAAGATTAACTAACCTGAAAATATGAAGCAGAGACCGTTATATAAGCTGATTTTCACAGTAACTCATATCTTCTCTACAGGGTAGAAAAACTCGGTTTACGGATAGACAGGGATTAGGTCTTTTAGATTAGGGAAGAACGATTCAACGAAAAACCTTATGTGAGCCGCTTTCAGGGATTTTATATGACAACAAAGAGCATTAAGAAAGTACAATATAAAATTAATCGACTGTATGAATGCGCCCACTGACGTTATATCGTAAATGAACATTAAACAAAAAAAGTAACTTACTTTACAGCTTTCTTCTTACTACGTCGCTGTCCGTCGTCGCTTGACGACGAACTCGAACTGTCCACAGCGGCTTGCTTCAGCTAAAACCAAAAAATAAAACCACTGCTATGTTGACGACCCTTCAATTTAAAATTTTCACGAATCCAACAACTTTTTTCGAAGCTATCTCATAGTTTCACGATCATATAAACACTAAAAACCGAATAAAACTCTGAATAGTTTACAGAGAACTTTCCAACGTGCATCTCCAAGTTTTCTGAGATAAAAAAGTTGACATAATCTTGGCAACTGGTACAAAAAAGCTAACTGAAGCAATGAACACAAGAATAACCGGACTGATTTCGATTTCAACATGCACATTTGACCGGGTTTCTAGGTCAAAATGCTACAACGGTATACAATGATAAAGAAAGACGCTGATTATTTCAACCATACTGCTAGAAGCAATGTGCCCCTCAAGGTTATGTTGTGGTACACAAAGTACTGTTAAGTAAAACAATAAAAGTCCCATGTCTACCATAAACAACTCTCGAAAAGTCGCACTGCTTTTGCGTGAGATCGATACTTTGTGTTGGCTTCTCATCCACTGAGAGGCACTGATCTATTCACTACTATTACAGCACAAGTTATAACGTAAAACATAAAAATACAGGCTCAGTAAGGTTACTCAAAGTAATTCTAGTAATTCTGGTAATTCTTTCGTAAAGTAATTCTTCAAGTTCTATACCCGTATACCGATAACCCTCTACCCTCAACCTTGTCTGCACTCAAAAAGGGGTGAGCGATCAGCTGTTTAAAATAGGACATAATTAGGAGTTATATACTAGGTGAGGATCACTAATTGCTAAGTTTGGCGTCCCATCCCTTCCCCAGCCTTTTGGAGCTTGTGTAATTCCCTATCCATACTAATCAAATGTATATAACCGTTTTTCGTGATAAGCCGATTTGAACATCTTCCCAATTGACAGTACTTTCGAAATTTACCACTATTAAATCATACAGGTTTGACGATCACTGCAAGATTATCGGAAATGAGAAAGAAGTGTGAACCCAGGCGATAGTAGCTCATTTGAAAGTATAAGAACGAGTGCACGACTGCTACAAAGTAGTTAAAGAAGAAAAAACATCTAACAATCATCAAAATCTGATGCACCTATACAACCAACCACATGTACACCGACCCTGTATGACCCTGCTACGTCAGACGACAGGGTCTTTTGATAATCAACCCTACGACTGGGAATGTTTGAGGTCGAGGAATGTTTCGTTAACATCTCATAAAATCCGAGGAGTTTGCAGCTACGTAAGATTAAGGATGGGAAGATTACGGGGAAGAAATGACCAAATCATCAGAATAAAAGAACTAGCTTAAAAAAGCTGCTTGAGGAATTCCTTAATAATTACTAGACCATTAATGAACTCTAATACTCTAAAAACACTTCAAGTGATATTCACTTTCTGTTTCCGCACAACAAGAGCAACTCAGGCTGAGGGTTGCATTGTAGTAATAAAAGTAGTTACCACAAAAGCATGACCAGACTTAACTATTTCGGAATGTTAGAGGTTATTGCTGAATTCGTTCGCAAGGATGACCGCACACCAAATCTGAGTAATTACAAATGGAACAAAGCACTAAAATAAAAGAACACGCTTCGAAAAACCCTCCTGAAGTAAGGGTACCCTGTTTTGCTCAATACATTTTGCCATACCGGTAAGTATGAGTAAGGTGAGGTGTAGCAGACGCATATTCACTTCTAATCCTGCCCAGGCCTACTAAAAAGGGATTACTCCGAATTACCAAGCCGATGACATTCACCAACAGCTGTGGGTTTGACCCTCCAAAAAGTAAAAGCGCTGCCGCTACCTCAATAGACTCACTCCTTTCAAGTGCATCATCGTGAATCTTTCCCTTTCGAGGAGGATGGTATCACAAAATGGTTCAAAAACTTATTCCAAAACATTACTCCTGAAAAAATATTGAAATCATAAGCTCACTGGCTCCAAGTCAAAAAAAAAGACATCCACTGTTCTGCGAGTTCTCTAAATCTTCCATACAAAGTCCCGCCTTTGAAAATGAAGAGAGAAGTGAATGCGCCCTTACTGTTTTAATCATTTCAATTGTTAGTCACATCAAAAACAACTAAACACATCGCGAACTTAGTATAAACAATAAACAATATACAAATAAAAAGCGAGAAATTCGAGAAAACTCACCGTGGTAGGAATGATGTTGTTCAGTGAAACACCAATATACTCCATCTCACGGCGAAATCTATCCGCTGCAGCTTTCCTTCTGAAAACATCGGCAAACATATCGCTGACTTCGCAATAGCATTAAACTGACACACACAACTTCATCCAACATGACTCTTGAAAACTTTAAATATAATTTAAAAAAAGAAAAGAAAAGAATGAACTTGAGTAGGAAAACTTTAGATTTTAAATCTGCTAAAAAGCTTAGAAGTTACTTTAAGTACTTATTACTTAGAAACCTACCAGCACGCCTACCAGCACGCCACAGATTGATCCCCTAGGCCGATCAAATCTTCATATTTACTTACTTTGGCTGCTGAGTTCGCTTCTTCTTCTGGGGCGGTGGAGGTTGGTTAGGCTCAATTTCTTTATTCATGCTAAGGTCAGCACTTGGTTTAGCGTCATCAACTATCGAAACGCTATCAAATTCATTCAAATAATTCTGGTCCATACTGTCTGAAACGCCTTCATTACAACTTCAGAAAGAAGGTCCCTTCATAGACAACTTTTTCGAAGAATGGCTACGATGGAGTATTTACAAACATCAAAAGGAGGTCAATCAACATTCGTAACGACAAGGACGCTTACGGATGTCTACTGGAGAATACAAAAGTTATACTAACAAGTAGAATTCGAAGTAGACGGGTTTCCTCGTTTCGCAAACTGACAAATGTGTTTTTGCGTATTGCTTACAATAGAATGGCGCGCAGACGGTGAAATAGTACGAGACGAGAGGAGGGTGCCGACGTTGCCACACACGCGTTGGCAAATTGCCAACCAGCAGTTGGGCACTGTGCCAAATACGTGTGGTCACATGGAAAACAAACACATTTATCACATGGCAGTGTTTTTCGTTCTCCAAGAACTACATTCGACCTTTGAACAGCTGGGTTGGTTCGAATTAAGGGAGACTTTGCAGGATTACTGCATATGAATAACTACATTACTGGATTGCAGGATGTTATTGATAAAACTGCACAGCGGCAGTCAACAGGTCGGACGTACGCAGGGCTTATGCCCTTTGCAAAACAGCTGCTAAAGTACACGGCTTAGCTGAGCAACGAACCGTTTACGGGAACAATCAAAGTACAAGAATAACAAGCCTAAGGCTAACAGGTACGTAAATTCAGTACGGATTCAAGGTGCTACAGTAAAGTAAAACCGGCGGAGTACGTAAAATCAGTACCGATTCAAAGTCATACCGTGAAACCAATGAAACTTCATACTAAGCAGTAGTAGAAGACGGAGCCTAAGCTTCACAGGTACGTAAATGCAGCTTTGCGCTACACGTTACTAGAGTATCAAGCTTGAGACTCAAAAGAACGTAAATTCAGTACGGATTCAAAGTTTCACTGTAAAACCGGTACATCTTCATACTAGGCAGTACAGACTAGCAAGTCCAGTTGTAAGCCTCAGGAGGTACGCAGACCCAGTGCGCATTCAAAGCACTACCGTGAAACCACTACGGGTTCTAGGCAGTAGTAGAATACCAAGCCTAAGCTGCTTTCATAGTCCGTGAGCGAGCGCGCGAGCCGGCCTGGGACTACTCGTCCGGCGGTATCGACCAAGATTCAGTTTTAAACAAGGGGCAAGCGCCATCCCCTGTCGCTCGCTCGTATATATTGGAGATACTACCGTAAAATCACTGGGTCTTCGTGTAGCACAGTACCTGAATAACAAATCTCACTACGGATTTAAGGTACTGCCGTTAAACCACTGGAGCTTCAGGCTCTATATTACCAGAATAGCAAACCTAAGCCTTAACAAATCGGGTCCATTCAGCATGACATCAAAGTGCTACCTTAGAATCACTCGAGTTTTGTATCATACTACGCAGTACCAAAGTGGCAAGCCTGAGCTCCACTCGTACGTGAGCCCAGTACGGATTCCAACTCATACAGTAATTTCATTGGAGTTCAGGTTACTACGAGTCGAGGTTTGACGCGTGTTTGGTGCAGTGTAGTCATGAACAGCACCTCAGCTATTTTCTACAGATGGCTCAAACAGGAAACGAAGAAATCTTGTGGTAAGTATTGTTACAAGTATATCTTTTATTTGAGAGTTTACAGTAGGTTGCTATGGATCATTTTCAGGGTTTTTTTTTCTTCTTTCACGACCGCGCACATTAGGAGAACGGACCAGGTATGAAGTATTTACTCTTACACGACTGGTTTCTTAGAGATAGTAAAAAAACGGCCGATAACTCAAGAGTGCCATGATTTCTTCGGAAAGTTATTAACCTTGAAATGCAAGGAGAAGAATATAAAAGTAATGCCACCAATTATTTAAAAAACGTAATACTAGACGAAATTGAAAAGAAAAATAAGTGAACCGTTCAAATTTCATAATTTTTAAACTTTATCTGACTCACTTCTTTTCTTCTGCAGCTGCTTTCTTCTGATGAATTACCAGTACTTCTTGTACATAAGTAAGGCATTCGATAAGCATACCATGTTCGCATTTCGGGCAGTACCACTTGCCACCGGGAACGAACCTAAGATCCCACAGATCAGTTTTCAACTCACATGGACACATCTACTGGTTTGGCAACTAAGTAAGTGTGTACATTATGGGGGGCATAATTGTCTTTTTTACCAGAAAAATTTTTACTCGATCATATTCTGACCATAAACCACTCAGGTAACTGGTAAGTAGGCACAACTCACTTGAGAAGTTATAGCTACTTTTTGAGAAAAATCTCGGAGTACTCAGGAAGTTACGCAGTTACTTGTGTTGCCAACTTGATAGATTGCGATATATCATGAAAAATTTCCTGTTTTCCTTATTAGTTTTACTTAATTGTTTGATCTCTTTAGTGTGCTACTATTAGAACTCAAGAGACAATTATATCATACATATTCATAATTCGTGATCTTTTGTGATACTGAGAAATCATATTAGATATCTTATCAAGATGCAATGGAAATGCTTTAATTGAATATTTAAATTTGTTTTGCGATTTTATGAGTAGCGAAATGTTGTGCTGGCAAAGGAAGGTAGAAAATTCTAGTGAAAAACAGCCTGCTCTTTTGATAGTTCTTTTTTCAGAGGCCACAAGTGATCCACTCGATTTCCAACAACTTAGCAAAACTAGTTTTACAAAATCGAATCTTTGAATGAATTCTGAACCTATTTTATGGGACTGAATTTTGCGAAACGTTTGTAACAGCGAATTAACGTCGTAGGGGGAAGGCCGAGAAGTTTTCCGGTTCCATCAATTTCAGCCACTAACCCTTTCGTTCATTTCTGGGGATCTCATCTCATTTCCACTAACTGGTAATTCAGTTAAAAAGCTATTACCGTATCGACTACGACGCCTCGCTCTAGCAGCGTCACAGATCCCTTCTATTTCAGATGGGAGACTTGTAGGATTAATTCTTGACAATCAGGTTTTTCGAGGTGTTCCATTAGTACTTTTCCAAGATTCTTATCAACGGATAATCAGATACGTCAGTACATCCCTGATTTCACTCAATTTCCCATAAATTAGTTATCATAGGTGCTAAGTACTTCTCTGAATCTGAAGGGGCATCACATCACCCAACGGAGATAATCCATAAATGGATGGCAAGTTATGAAGTTGAAAAACAGAGTGGCTGTAATGATTGTAACTTTACTTGCCTACTCCAGTAATTACTTTTCCTCAAAAGTTTGACGTGGTACTCTAACAGGGAACAAGTAACCGGGAGCCAGAGGTTATCGGAAAAAGGAAACTAGGGTGTGAGGCAGTAGGAACGAAATTGACGCATCGCAGTGAGAGAGACGTCGCGCGCGAAGGAGTGTAGCAGAGTGCAGCAGCAAATAAGATATACCGGAATAAATGAACTAACAATAGAATCGTGACAAAAGTACTAGTCGCATAGCGAATACAGGAACAAAGGAAGTAACAGGTTACTCATGGCTTAAATAAAGATCGCATATCGATTGAGCTGTATGAGGAACGTTAGAACTGTTATAACGAGGCAAATGTTCCGCGACAGCCGCGTGCGGCGGATCGATTACACAAAACCGTTCTTACTGCCTGTCTCCCAGTAAACTACAGTATATAGACAGGGGAACCTGTTGTTCAAAAAGCTATTGATAAATGAAAATGCAGGGAAAAAGTGAACGGCAAAATACTGTAGGGAATTGAGGAAAAAAAGAAAAAAAAAAACAGGAGCAGAAAAACGGAAGGGTGAATTAACGAATAAAAAGGAGAGTGAAGCGGACGAAAAATAAAGAGAACAATGATGTAAACATATAAAAAAAGTAAAACCAATAAAACGAGATGAAAGAATGAAAGTTACTTACCAAAGGGGAGGTTTTAAACATGTTGTATGCCAAGCATCGTCACAATTGTCACATAGCAGCAACTGAAATTGGAAGCATATGACCCCTTTCTCAGCAAATATTAAAATATTCCAAAAAAATTATGAAAATAAACTAAGAGAAGAAGTTGAAGGATAATTATTATCAAAAATTATTAGATAAACTCACGATTTCTTCATTATCGCTCAATTTGCAGGAGCCACATGCAAAGTCACCTTCAGCTCTACGTCGGACCTCTTCTTCCTGAAACGTTGCCTCTAGGAAAGATTAGGGATTCTGAAGGTTGAAACTTACGTCTTCATCTGCAGATTCATCATCATCTTCTTCTTCAATGACTTTCTTCTTTCTATGCCGCCGTTTCCTATACGATCAATTTACTTGGTCCCACTTCAAAATTCAAACAAAAAACCTTTTTTTCGGCTTACCCAGTAGATTTTTTTGGAGTTTTAGGTTTGAACTCGTCATCACTACTGGCTGACCCATCAATTTCTGGATCCGAACTACCGGCAGACCCTTCTGAATCATCCGAAGCAGGAGTGGAAGAATCCTTGAATTCGGTTAGTTAGTACATTAACAAGTAACTGAACATGAGTTACGNATATACTTCCGGATATTCGTCTGCGCTTTCTGTGAAGCACTTCGTCGAGGAAGAATACGTCGGTCACCCTTGAAAGAGTAAACTCATATGCGCAATAAATAGGATTCCTGTGATTCCCTTACTTCCTCAACCTCTACAGGCTTTTCCTCCTCCTCCGGGACGGCTTCTTCCTGGGGTTCCGCGGGGTTTTCTAACCTGGCATTACGCCTGTTACGCCGTTCCTCTTTCTCTTTAATCATGCTTTCCCTCATTTTCTAAAAGTTCAAGTTAACAGTACAAGTTAATTTGAAAAATACAAGAAGATACATTTGAATAAGTCTACCCACCTTAATTGTGGCCTCATCCAGAAACATGTCCACATAGGTACCTTTTTTAGTAACCATATTGATGGCTGGTTCGGTATCACCTTCCGCAGGCTTGTTCTAGAATAACCGCAGATTTAAAAGATCAAAAAATTTAAAAAATTAAAATACATAAGCTACTCACAAAATCGCGTTTGTCATTTGGATTCTTCACATATCCCAGATCTTCAACCTTCAATTTGGCTATGAGGTTCTCCAAATCCGTCATGTCGCTAAACAAATCATATTGACCAACTGGTTAGACCCACTTTTATTTTGTAAAAATTTGGCAATAAATCCTCCAGAATCTGAGTATATATACTACTTACTAAGTAGTTATTAACTAGAAGTTCCCGCGTAGATTTTAATTTCAAATATGCTTAACTATGGGTGTGGAGGAGAAAAAAATCTTTACAATATCACTGATTGTGGTCAGAATTTAAAGCTGACGGACCCTTCGGACCCCGTGGGAGGCATGTGATTGACCATGCAGTTCATACAGTACCTGGGCAGATGGGACGGGGTTCAGAACCTCTGGTTGACTTGAAGCTATTGTGGTCCACTTTATCGGGATGTGAGCCATGGACTGTACTTGGAGTATGGGTGGTCGTGGACTGTACCTATGGTTGAGTGGTAATCCTGCCCCAATTCCATCTTTAGTCAGTTTACATTGAACGCATAGGATTTGCAATGAAAATCAATTTTTATAAGAACCCTTACCGAGCAACCAGAGTCCAAGAATATCCACTTTCGTCATCCTGCTCAGTAGTATAGAGACGAAGGCCGTACTTCGAATCAATTTGACAGTAATATGCCAAACCATTTTTGTCAACTCCGGTAACCATGTCCCTCATATCCATAGCACGGAGAGCTGTTGGTATCTGGAAACCGTTACTGTCCTGGTGATCCAACAGTAAGGCTGATACAGTAAGAATTTGGGGCACTTACACTTTCTCTGAGTCTCAGATTGTGGTCCAGTTGGAGCTCACACAGGGTCCTCAAGATTTTCAGCTTACTCAGAATAGACATGTGGACATAACCGTACCTATAAAATTTGCCATTTTGGAAATAGGAAAAAATTACTGCTGCACCCGCAAAAACTGGTAACCATGACTTACGTTTCGAGTTGTCTTTTCTCGGACGACAGTAATCCGGTACTGTTGAGATATTTGAGAAGACATTTCTCAAAGCTATCATTACTAACAGTCTTGACAATGGAACGACGCAGTAACTTTAGATGTAGATCAACAAGCTCTTTGGATACTGTAAAAAAGTATAATCAAGTAAAAAAGCAGTAACCAGTACCAGTAGCATTTTGTTAGAATATACCTCTGCCATCTTCCAATGTGGTGAACATGTTCTCCAACTGGCCGAAGCTGACCGGTTCCATTTCTAAACGATGGCATGGTTAAGGATAGGGATTTTTAGAAAAAATAGCAAAATTAAAAATGGCTTACTCATGAGTGTGAAGAATTTATTGATGAAACTGCAAATTACGGCGAAATCAGGATCACAGCGTAATTGTTCAGCATCGATCTTAAATTTAATAAATATTATGGGTAACAAAATGAGTAAGGTGAAAGGGCATTTTTCAGGGTACAATGTGGGCGAATACCTTTAAAATGAGGAAAAAATGAGGTTGGGTTCATAAAACGGGATCAAAAAGCGGTAGGCAATTCCTACTGACAGCTACTTCTCGATGGCGTTGAAATGGTCCCTTCCCATTTTTGTTGTAAGGTCCCACCGAGGTATTCCTTGACCCGTTCAACTGCACCGAATCAAAACTGAAGTATATTCGTGGATGGGGCAGCAACAGGACGGTAAAAATCCAGTGTAAAAAAACATTTCAGTGTTGAGCCCTTATAGAACGTCAGGCAAAAGTTTGACGCGTCGC